GAGTTGGAATCGACTTGACTTTTGGCAGTGAGTTTTTTTTGTTGGTGGGATTATGCAGTGTTTTGCTTTTCTGTATTTGTTTAATTTTTCAACGTAAGTCAGTCACACACGCAGTTAGCCAGGCAGTTTAAAGATAACTTCATGATAGTTACGCACATTGCGATAGTGTTTTTGTTTGTTTGTTTTAAACCCTTTTGGGGACTGCAGCCTATCTGAGAATCTGATGAAGGTGATGATTCTTTTTCTGGAAAAAAGTACTTTCAAAAAATATTTACAAAGACTGAGGAGGATTTCTGGGAACTGACGTGGAGTCATTTTCTGGATACATTGTTGAGAATGAGAAAACAAATACAAAGGAGTATATGCACCATCCTTCATAAAAGAAAGTAGATATAAAAAAAATTCATGTATCTGCTCATTTGTGCAAAAGAAACTTAGGAAAGATAAATCAGCAACTAAAGATGTTGGTTTCCTACCTGGGGTGGGGAAGAGGTGGAAGGAAACAATGAAAACAGAGTAGTAGGGATAAGGAAAGAGGGACATTTCTCTGAGCATACCTTTTCCAATAGCCTTGACTCTTTAACCACGGTGATGTTCCACATACCCCAAAAATAAAGAAATAATTAAAAGTAACTAGGCTGTGGGGTACCCATAGTTGTGCCATCCAGTTGATTCCGACTTGTGGCAACCCCGTGTGACAGAGTAGAACTGCTCCATAGGATTTTCTTGGCTATAATCTTTACGGAAGCAGATTGCCAGGTCTTTTCTTTTGTGGAGCCACTAGGCAGGTTTGAACTATCAACCTATTGGTTACCAGCTGAGTGCAACCATTTGTACCACCCAGGGACCTTGAGGGAACCTATACTGGAGTACAAACAGTTACAAATGAATAACGTAATCACCCTGAATGGCAAGGGGGAGAAGAACTAAGTAACTGGAAAACAGTATTTTGTCCCTGGATGGTGTAAACGGTTTAGGCTCCACTACTAGCTGAAAGGTTGCTGTGTGAACCCACCCAGATGCACCTCAGAAGACAGGCCTGGCGATCTGCTTTTGAAAGGTTACAGCCTTGAAAACCCTGTGGAGCAGTTCTACTCTGCACACATGGGGTCGCCACAAGCGGGAATTGACTTGATAGCAACTAACAGCAGCAGCAAGAAGAGTAAAGACAAAAAGAACTCTACACAAATACTGTATTCTGTTAGGAAATTTATTATGCGTGGAGGTATGGGTTAGCAATTCTGACATCACTTTGTATAGACTAAGATTGAGGAAATAAGTAAATGTATTGTAGATAATGAGAGGTAGGTTTCTCCCTGTCTGAGAAAGAAGTTACAAATAAGAAAAAGGGGAAAGTTAGAATGAACTCTGTGGTGTTGGACTGGAATTCAGCTGTCTGTATGAACTCATGGCTTTTAAAATATATGTAGATAAACCAAAAACCAAACTCACTGCTGTTAAGTTTATTCCAACTCATGGCAACCCCATGTGTTACAGAGTAGAACTGCCCCATAGGGTTTTCTTGGCTGTAATCTTTATGGAAGCAGATCACCAGGCCCTCTGCGGTACCACTGGGCAGGTTCGAACTGTCAGCCTTTAGGTTAGTAGTTGAGGGCAAATGGTTTGCTCCACCTAGAGACCCATATATGTAAACAGATACAGGAAGAAATATAGATGTATATGTGCATGTGGTTAGTATACGTACATACATTTTCTAGCTCTGTTTGCTAAGAAGGTCTAGAAGCAATCATACCCCATGCTGTGCGATGGATCGCTTTCCTGTGTCTATGGTCTTGTAACTGCCACCAAATGATTGGGTGGGACCATGCTAATAAGGTAGATGGAACCCTGATGAGGGGATTGGTCAGTTTTGCCATCCGGCTAGGCTTAAAATGAGCCATCCCAGGGGCAAGAGGGAGAGAATGTTACCACTACCGAGTTTCCCTTTTAACATATCCACTCACGTATTGGCTGAAGGCAGAATTACATGCTCTCTCAAACTATAATACCCAATATTATTCATTTCTACCATACATTTAGATCTGCTTTACAACAATAGATAGGAGAAACATTCAATATCCATTGTACATTCAATTAAACACATAATCCTAAACACCTAACGCTTTTTAAAACATTCCAGTTTCATCTTTTGCACTCCACCCCTTGACTGTTTTCCCATTCACATGCATTTGGCCTTGGGTCTCTGGCTGGGTGGAACCAGAACCCTGGCCCCCTATCAGTTATCTTGCTTAGCAGGCCTGGCTTTGGCCCCAGGCCACTCTAGATGCTTTTCTCCCCTCAGCTGCAGCAAAACTTTCCTTTCAGGCAACAACAACCAAAGTAATCATCTAAGAATCAAGTTTCACTTCCCAAGCCCCTTTGTTCTTTCTCTTACAAAGTCACATCCTTGTGAGTCTAGAGACAGTGCAACAAATCCTGCTCCTGACCCAGCTGTGAAAATGGCATGGGCGTGGCATCTGACCTCTGCTTCATAGCAGTCAGCCTTGTGCTGTTGATCTTGATTCTCCTTCCCCCTTGTGAAGTGAGAGGAGCAGCCATTTTTACACCCCATTAGCAGTGAGCATGCTTAGCACCCAGATCCTGGTTATTAAATTCTATTCTCCAATGAAGGGAACCAGGGCTCCTCGGAGAAATGAGTGATTCCAGGACTGGGGCAGGAAAAATACAACAGGCTGGAATATCATGTGGTGCCAGAAAGTAAAGGAGTACTCAAAAAAGAAGTGGAGGCATGTTAAAAGGATGCAGGAAACAAACGAACTAAAGGAGCTTCCCAATGGCCAGATCTGGAGCACTTAGAACATTGAAATAAATAATGGTAGCATTAGACTATAACTCAGAGCATGAAATAAATGTGAGCTATACTGATATAAATAAAGATGTAATTAAATGGGAAGAAGGGCTAGCTGTTCCTTACAGCAGTCCATTAAGAAATGTTGTCATGGATTGAATTGTGTCCACCCAAAAATGTGGGTAGCAACCTGGCTAGGTTATGATTCCCAGTACTGTATGATTGTGTTATCTGATGTGATTTCCTTATGTGTTGTAAACTCTACCACTATGATGAGATTATATGTGATCTCCTCATGTGTTATAAATTCTATCACTGTGATGAGGTTATACTGA